TATAGTATCATATCATCTGCAAATAGGGACAGTTTTACTTCTTCATTACCAGTTTAGATGCCCTTTATTTTTCTTGCCGCATAGCTCTAGCCAGGACTTCCAGCACAATGTTAAATAGGAGTGGTGATAAAGGACCTCTTTGTCTTGTTCCTGTTCTCAGAGGAATGCTTTCAGCCTCTCTCCATTAAGAATGATGTTTGCTGTTGGTTTTGTATAGATACCCTTTATTATGTTGAGGAATTTCCCTCCTATACCTATTTTATTGAGAGTTTTTATCAGGAATGGGTGTTGGACTTTCTCAAATGCCTTTTCTGCATCGATTGAGATGATCATGTGATTCTTTTATTTATGTGGTGGATTATGTTGATTAATTTTCTAGTGTTGAACCATCCTTGCATACCTCGTGTGAATCCTACTTGGTCGTGGTGTGCTATTTTTTGATATGATGCTCAAACAGCCAAACTCTTAACCACTACACCACCAGAGCCCCAGGTAGGATTTAGGTGGTGGGAATGACCAGTAGGTGGAGTATGGGGCTAAGAGGTGAATTAAGGTAGCTAGGGGTGGGCCCATGAGGAGAGGGCATGACTCACTCTTTCCTTCCTCACTCTCCCCCACACTCTGCAGAAGGTGGTCCTGTCGTCTGCATCTGGGCCAGGGCTGGATCTGTCTTTGGTCTCAGGACTCCCTCTTCAGCTGAAGATGGATATGTCCAGGGTGGTCCTGAGCCAGGGGCCGAAGGAAGAAGTCCTTGCTCTACCTCCGCTGGGTCTTGAGCCCCTCTCCAATCTCTGGGCCCAGCCTCAGGGCTTCCTCTTCCTGGGGGCTGTACCAGGTAAGAGAGAATAATGTTCAAAGTCCTTAGCACACCACTGAAAACAGCTAAAGGGAGGCAAGAAAGTGGGAAGGGAAGCATTTTGAGGGAAAGGGAACCTCTGAGAGGGAAGAAGAAAAGACCACAAGAAGGGGAGCATGGGGGGCAATGGGAGGAAGAAGGTTGAAAATTTAGTTTGGGAAACCTGGAAAAGTGGGGAGGAGCTTTTGAACTGACCCTAATGCCACTTCCATCCTGCCTTCCTCTAGGAGAAGTCTCTTCTGCCTCCTTTTGTTTGGATGGCCTTTGGGCCCAAGGCCAGAGGCTGGACGTGGACCAGGCCCTGAGCAGAAGCCAGGACATCTGGACTCACAGCTGTCCCCAGAGCTTAGGCAATGGCACTGATACCTCCCATTAAATCCCTGCCTAAAAACTACTTTGACTATCACTCGTTAATTTATTCAACACATATTCACTGTGCATCTGGGGTAAGCACTGGGGTTATACTGATGAGCAAAACCAACTCTGGTTCCTGCCCTCTTGGTGCTCACAGTCCCACGGGGGAGGCAGGCATCCATCCAGGACTAACAAAGAAGTATATAATTGGAAACTCTGATAAGTGCTATGAAGGAGTGTGAAAGCTTGGACATTAGGAGGCCCAGAACCTAGTCTGGGCATCAGAGAAGTCTTCCCTGAGGAAGTGGTGGCTTCTTAGATGAGATCTCAGCACACATGGACACAAACACACACCAAAAAAATCAAACCCGTTGCCGTTGAGTCAGTTCTGACTCACAGGAACCCCATATGTTACAGAGTAGAACTGCTCTATAGGGTTTTCTTGGCTGTAAGCTTTACAGAAGCAGATTGCTAGGCTTTTATTCCACCTGAGAGGTTTTGAGCCATCAACCTTTAGGCTAGTGGTCAAGTGCGAACTGTTTGCACCACCCAGAAACTTTATACACACACACACACACACACACACACACATATCAGATACAGGTCACTTTCTGGGAGCCAGGAGCCTACCTCCTTCCCCAGCATCCACTCCCTCTGGGACTCCACCTTCCTCTCTCCAAAGCTGGTCCCAAGAGATTAGGAGGGAAGGGAAGAGATGGATTTTGTTGTCTCAGCTGATCTGGCCCTTTGGACTGGCCATTGCTGTCCAGGGAAGGAGCAGCAGGGGGCATGAGACGGTCATGGAGAGATGGGGGCAGGGGTTCTGGGAAAAGGGGTGGAGGCTGCAGGGAGAAAGAAAAAGGGAGGGGAACAGAGGGAGAAAGCTGCCTCTATCCAGCTTTCGGTCCACTTGCTGCATTCCCAGATGGATTTGTCTCTACTCCATTAAACAAGAACTGGCTTGTGCAGGTCCCAGCTGGGAAGAACAGACAGATTCAGGAATATCTCTGTCCTCAAAGAATATGATGAACCAGCCCTCTGCCACTAGACCCCTGGAGAATCCTGGTGCCGCAGCCCTTCCCCTGTAACCCATTTGTCTCATCCTCAAGCCTCCTGGGAAACCCTCATACCCAAGTCCCCAGATCCTAGCTCAGTCCTCAGCCCTCTTAGGAACCCTGGTGTCTTAGCCCAAAGTTCCCAACCCCCTAGGGGGGCCTGGGGCTCCAGCCCTCAGCTCCCACCTCTCAATCCGCAGCCCTGTCAATAACTGTTAATTGCTCCTCCAGTCTCCAGCCCCATCCTACCTTCTTACAAAGATCTTCCCCACCAGTAACCCAGGCAACAGGATAAGTCACTCATTGGACCTTCTGTCCCCTTCTGCAGGCATCAGCCAGGACCTAAATAATCCCAGAATAAGGAGGCTGCAGGAAGCTCTGGAGTGGAAGACATAAGTCCCAAGCCCCTTTTTGTACCCTCCCAATCTCAAGTATGCAGAGTCTACAGCTGCCTCCATCCACTCAGGAAGCAAGGTTTTGTAGAACAGTCTTCAGCATAGCCAGGGAGCCCAAACCCAACTCTGGTCCCTGGGCAATGTTTAGGATCAGCCTAGGCTGCCTGAATATATTCATTTGATTGAGCTTTACTGAGCATCTACTATGTACCAGGCACTGTTCTAGACACTGAGGGTACATTAGTGAGAAGGGCAGACGTAGTCCCTGCTCTTATGGAGCTCTCAATATAGTGGAGGGAATTGGGCAAACAGCCCATAAACAAGAAAAGAAATAAACAAGCAGGATAATGTCAGTAGCAGTTAGAGATATAAAGGGAATAAGATCCTATAATAGAGGATGGTGGGGAAACAGGCAATATTAGATAGCTGGTTGGGGCAGGCCTCTGTGAGGAAGCCTCATTCGAACAGAGACATGAATAATGAAAGGAAGCTAGTCACGTGGAGTCTGAGGGTGTGAGCCAGTGGGTAGGGAGGCTAAAGGCCTGGAGGTACTTGGGTACCCACCAACGGGTTTTTCTGAGGGGTAATTTCCTGACCTTGTGTTTCCTGGGAATTTCACCGAGGCTGGCTTTCCTCTTCTCCCTTCCCCCTCTTGAGGACTCTGCTCCCAACCTCTCTTTCTCCAGCCTGCCCTAGATTCCAAGGTTCCTGATTATCATCCAGAGCTGTCTACACCCTTTCATTAAGATTGACTTTGCCTTGACACAGACTTTGCTGGGCTCCCACCAAGGGCACCTACGATGTCCGCCTAGTGTCCCTTGCCTTTCCCACATCCCCCACAATTTTTCCGGAGCTTGGCAGCACACCCTGAAGCCTCCACGTCTGTCCACTCACTCCACTGTATCCACTGACCCTTTATCTCTCTCTCTCTCAACTGGTTTCTTTTTTTTAAATTAACATTTATTGGCTGCTGTGTTAGGCAGTCCACAGGGACTCTAAAGAGGAATAAGACTTGGGCCTGGCCCTGGAGAACTGGGGTCTTGGGAGAGAAGTGTCGTTGTTGTTAGGTACCATCGAGTCAGTTCCAACTCATAGCTACCTCCTGTACAGCAGAGCAAAACACTGTCTGGTCCTGTGCCATCCTCACAATTGTTGCTATGTTTGAGCCCATTGATGCAGCCACCGTGTCAATCCATCTTGTTGAGGGTCTTCCTCTTTCTCGATGACCCTCTACTTTACCAAGCATGCTGTCCTCCAGGGACTGGTCCCTCCTGATAACATGTCCAAAGTACATAAGACAAAGTTTCACCATGCTTGCTTCTAAGGAGGATTTGGCTGTACTTCTTCCAAGACAGATTTGTTCGTTGTTTGTTTGTCCATGGTATGTTCAATATTCTTCGCCAACACCATAATTCAAATGCACCAATTCTTCTTTGGTCTTCTGTATACATTGCCCAGCTTTTGCATGCATATGAGGCAATTGAAAATATCATGGCTTGGATCAGGTGCATCTTAGTTCTCAAAGTGACATCTTTGCTTTTTAACACTTTATAGAGGTCTTTTGCAGCAGACTTGCCCAGTACAATACGTCCTTTCATTTCTTGACTGCTGCTTCCATGGGTGTTGATTGTGGATCTGAGTAAAATGAATCCTTGACAATTTCAGTATTTTCTCTGTTTATCATGATGTTCTACCATGCATCTGTCAGTTTGTCGTACTGTGGTGGCTTTCATGTTGCTGTGATACTGGAAACGATGCCACTGGTGTTTCAAATACCATCAGGGTCACCCATGGTGGACAGGTTTCAGTGGAGCTTCTAGACTAAGACAGACTAGGAAGAAGGACTTGGCAGTCTACTTCTGAAAAAAATGGCTAGTGAAAACCTTATGAACAGCAGCTGAACATTGTCTGATACAGTGTCAGAAGATGAGCCCCTCAGGTTGGAAGGCAGTTAAAATACGGCTAGGGAAGAACTGCCTACTCAAGGTAGAGTCGACCTTAATGACGTGGATGGAGTCAAGTTTTCAGGACCTTCATTTGCTGACGCGGAATGACTTCAAAATGAGAAGAAACAGCTGCAAACATCCATTAATAATCAGAACGTGGAATGTACAAAATATGAATATTGGAAAATTGGAAGTTGTAAAAAATGAAACAAAAAGCATAAAGATCCATATCCCATGGATCAGTGAACTGAAATGGACGAGTATTGGCCATTTTGAACCAGACAATCATATGGTCTACTATGCCAGGAATGACAAATTGAAGAGAAATGGTGTCACATTCATTGTCAAAAAAAAATCTCACGATCTATTCTGAAGTACAGCGCTGTCAGTGATAGGATAATATCCATTTGCCTACGAGGAATACCAATTAATATGACTATTATTCAAACTTACCACCAATCACTAGTGCAAAAGATGAGGAAATTGAAGATTTTTACCAAATTCTTCAGTCTGAAGTTGATCAAACATGCAATCAAGATGCATTGATAATTACTGGTTATTGGAATGCGAAAGTTGGAAACAAAGAAGGATCTGTAGTTGGAAAATACGGAGTTAGTGATAGAAACAACGCTGGCGATCACGTGACAGAATTTTGCAAGACCAATGACTTATTCATTGCAAATACCTTCTTTCAACAAAATAAACGGTGACTATACACGTGAACCTCACTGGATGGAAAACACAGGAGTCAAACTGACTACATCTGTGGAAAGAGATAGTGGAAAAGCTCAATATCATCAGTCAGAACAAGGCCAGGGGCTGACTGCGGAACAGACCATCAATTGTTCGTAACGCAAGTTCAAGATGAAGCTGAAGACAATTAAAACAAGTCCATGAGAATGAAAATATGACTTTGAGTATATCCCACCTGAATTTGGAGACCATCTGAAGAATAGATTTGACGCATTGGACACTAATGATCGAAGACCAGATGAGTTGTGGGATGACATCAAGGACATCATACATGAAGAAAGCAAAAGGTCATTAAAAAGACAGGAAAGAAAGAAAGAAAGAAAGAAAAAAGACCAAAACAGACATCAGAAGAGACTCTGAAACTTGCTCTTGAATGTAGAGTAGCTAAAGCAAAAGAAAGAAATGATGAAGTAAAACAGTTGAACAGAAGATTTCAAAGGGTGGCTCAAGAAGACAAAGTAAAGTATAACTAAATGTGCAAAGACCTGGAGTTAGAAAACCAAAAGGGAAGAATATGCTCGGCATTTCTCAAGTTGAAAGAACTGAAGAAAAATTCAAGCCTCGAGTTGCAATATTGAAGGATTCTATGGGCGAAATATTGAATGACGCAGGAAGCATCCAATGAAGATGGAAACAATACACAGAGTCACTGTACAAAAGAGGATTGACATTCAACCATTTCAGGAAGTACCGTATGATCAAGAACTGATGATATTGAAGGAAGAAGTCCAAGCTGCACTGAAGGCATTGGCAAAAAACAAGTCTTCAGGAGTTGACAGAATATCAGTGAGATGTTTCAACAAACAGATGCAGCTGGAGGGGCTCACTTGTCTATGCCAATAAATGTGGAAGACAGCTACCTGGCCAATTGAC